GCCTTGTTAAACCTCATCCCACTGGAAGTCCTGGATGTATTCCACTGCTGCATATGGAATGCAGAGTCAATCTGCACATGAATGATATGTGTGACACATACAGAATATATTGCTCTGATCACAGCTGTGTAGATCTGTGTGTAGCACATGTTCACTAATAACAATAAAGCCTAAATAAGTCAGGCTTACTAAAGTGCCATGCAGAGGCAGCAGGAAAATTTCAGTCATCTTTTGGTTGCATTTTTTTAGAAATATTGTTTTACTTACTTATTTCTTGAGTAGTTATGCTCAAATTACTATTTTCCTCTGGATTTTGAAAAGTGCATATGAAGATCATCTGCCTGTTATTAAAACCATGCCATTTGTTTTATCATATTGTTCTGATATTTTTCTATTCTTTGTATTGCTTCTGCTGAAACTTTTTTTATGTCCTGTGACCTTATATAATTGTAGAATAGTATCAATTTTAGGCTGTGGTAAACTGACCCTCACAAAGATAGATATTCTCTGTGAGCTAGTGTTGAGCTGTCTCAGTATGAGTAAGTCTGCTTAAAAATCAAGCAGCTGGTTACATTACTTTTCTTCAAGCTGTTGATTTTCCATATATAGTGTGCTGGTAAAACAAAACAGAAGAAAAATTCAAACCATGGCAAAATAATTTCAACCCTGGGTTGAGAGTACTCTGCAAAAATATTTATGTACAGAGAACTACTAGATTTTTGCTCATGTAAGTTTTCAGAAGGTCACAATCGAACAGTTAAATTTCTGAGCCAGATATTTTTCTGAGCCAACCAGAGTACCAATGTATTGCTTGTTCTGAAAGTTATTCTTGTGGGAGAAATCTAAGGGGAAAAAACTGAAGCCACCTAATAGGTGGCCATATAAATAAAGCCAGATGTGAGGCAATGACAATGCTCTTTAAATACATAGAGGTTTATCATACCTGTTGATATCACTCACAGTATATTAAGAGTCATGGTGCAAATAAAGATTCTAGTCTTTCAGATTACTTGCATAAATTTCAAGTGGTTTGATATTTTTCTTTTCAAAAGAACTTCTGGGTTTTTGTTTTTCAGCCAACTCAGACTGTCATGCCTGGTCAGGTAATGCGTGTTACAACCGGTGCTCCAATTCCATGTGGTGCTGATGCAGTGGTGCAAGTGGAAGATACAGAGCTCATCAGGGAATCAGATGATGTGAGTCACAAGCTAAAAGTCATTTTTCTTTTGTGTGCAGCAGAAAATGGCTCATGATACAAACCTGTAAATATGAAAGATCGTTCTACAGAAAAGCTCTTTGGTTAACTCAGAAGTTTTTGCATCAGTTCCTAGTGGCAATTCTCACTTTTTCAGGCTGTGATAACAGTATCACAGACTTACCTGTCCTGACTGATTTTTCATCACAGTTGTGAATGCTAAACACCAAAGTATTTGGGAGGATGATTTGAGTGAAAGACAAATGCCTCCTGGGGATCCGTGACTACAGTCCAATTTGAGTGCGTAGTGTATTCACATTTTAAAATACAGAGTAGTAGTGGCAATCAGACATTATATTTTTTCCTTTTCTAGTGAATTCACATTTAGCAGTAGAGCAGTCATCTTTATATTTCAGGATCATCCTGAAACTCAGAAAGATAAGGACTTTGAAAGTTCTTCTATATTCACCAAGTAAGAAGGAGAGAAGTTTTCTTAAATTACATATTAATCCCAGAGTAGTACATTGAAATATTACAGTGCAGCATTACTGCTGAATGTAATTAAAGCTGAATGATTTTCTGTGGGAAAGTGAACTGTTTGAAGTGCTGCAAAATCCATGGGATTACTTGGGTTCTTTTAAACTATGCTATGAAGATAGTTCTGTATTATCAGAGTTTATCTCATTTCAGCAAAGGTGAATTTGGTAGGTTTGGAGCATATGTCTAGTACACATCCCTTCTAATACATGCATCTGTTTAGAATATGGATTTTTTACTATGAAACAGGGGAAGTGTCTCCCAATTTTTTTTAAACCATATGTAAGTTTTTTTCAATAGATCTCTGTGCTTTAAAATGAGAACACTGATGAATTTAAGACCTCTGAAAACTAGGAATTGGATGAGGTGCATATTCCCCCAGAATGTAGTCTTAACTCTGTTTGACTTGAACAGATTTTCTAACTAAGTCATATTAGTTTACTACCTTACAGATGCTGCGAAATACCACAGAAAAAATATGAGTACTATAGTACTAATTCTTTGTGCACAGTTGTCTTAACGAAGTAAAGTGTGCTTTCTATGAAGCACGGGAGCATTCTGTAGATAACTTTATTCCAAAGAGTCCATCTTAGACTTCCTTGGTATTCAGAGAATTTCTTCTGAATCACTACTTTCACTTACCCAGCTGTGATTTCAGGACACCATCATCATGTTTGCTGTCATCTGAGAGACTTTAAGGCAAGAAGATATGTCTCTTATTGACACAACTCCAAGTTCAGTTTTGGAATTAGCTGTGTGTATGGTTCTCTGCTCAAATCAGCCTTTGCTCTTCTGCTGCTGTTCTGGCAAGCTGTTCCATTTCACCATAGTTTTGTGCTAGCACTATGTTTGCAACTGGAGTGTAAGCTGATGAATGCTAGTGTTCAAAGCTGATGAGGACAGAAGAAACTGAAACATGCTCTCATGATCCTTTCTCATGCCTTATTACTGTAAATGCATAGATTTTTACATCTAACGTAGTCAGCAAGCTGTCTAGGCTGCCCTTCTTCCTAACAGAGAACTTACTGAGCCAGTCCTGCTTTGAGGTTACAGATGTGTGTGTATAGATTATATCTTCCTGTAAAACACACCATTACCTTCACTGCTTAATTCCTTCATTAGCCTTACTGTACAAGTTTTTTGTGGCCATTGCCCACCTCGTCATGAGAGGACTATCACATTACAGAGCAACAGACATGATAATTTGGTATTTTCTGCTTCTTTGGATGACTGTATCCTGCATTCCACTTTTTATGTGTGTGGTCTCCTCTGCATGTGAGAACAGGTTATTTGGCTCTGTGCTTAAACTCTGAATTTTTTTGTGAATGGTCAGCTACCTTCAGCTTCCTTTTCCTGCCTGTAAGTGTGAGGTAGAACTCTTCAGTTTCTGCCTGTCTCTTAATATGCCACTCTGCTAATCCTGTTCATAGTATCCTAGTATGTTAAGGGGTTGGAATGGAACTTAGAGATCATCTAGCTGGGCAGGGACACCTTCTACTAGACCGGGTTGTTCAAGGCTCTGTCCAACCTGGCCTTGAACACTGCAGGGCTGGGGCATGCACAGCCTCCCTGGGCAACCTGTTCCAGTGTCTTACCACCCTCACACTAAAAAACGTCTTCCTAATATCTAATCTAAATGTCTTCTCTTTCAATTTATACCCATTACTCCTTGTCCCATCCCTATAGTTCCTAACAAAGAGTCCCTCTTCGGCTTTCCTGGGGGACCCCTTCAGATACTGGAAGGTTGCTATGAGGTCTCCACACAATCTCCTCTTCTCCAGGCTGAACAGCCCCAACTTTCTCAGCCTGTCTTTGTAGGGAAGGTGCTCCAGTCCTCTTAACAGCTTCGTGGTCCTCCTCTGAGCTTGCTCCAACAGTTCCATGTCCTTCTTATGTTGGGGACACCAGAACTGTACACTGTTCAGCGCCAACTGTTCATAATAATTAATATGGTTTAATTCATATTAATATAATTTAATCAATATGTTATTTTTTGTCTCCTTTTTCATGTCTGGGTGGCTACATATTTCTAGAATATTTTTCCTTTTATTGCTAAAAACTCCTTCAGAGCTGGAATTTAACTGAAATGAAATCTCTAACATCTGGAAAATGTTCTTCTAAAAAGAGAGTACTTTTAAAAGGAACTTACTGCTTGACTTCTAGTTGTGGTAGCAGTATTTAAATTTCATAGCAACCATTCCACAAATGACTGTAGAAGGCACAGGCCTGAAAGGAAATACATTTTTTCATCAGGAAAAATTCTCATTAGCTTGCCAATGCACAGTCATGGAGAAACATGTCCACACCCTTTTTTGTATCACCTTGTAGGAGAAAGGAGGCCAGTGTGATCAACCAAAACAAGAGTTAGATGCTGCATCAAGGCCAAGCATCAGTGTATCACTATGGATGCCAATTGTTAACAGCCATCAGAATAAACCACTCAGTTCAAAATATATTAATACACAGCAAGAAGAATGCTGCCTGACACACACTACATGAAAGGTGTTCTATGCATAATGCCATACCTCTTTGCAAGCCCTACCTCTAGCCACCTTGAATTACCTTGTATTCCTTGAGCATTCTGGGATATCCATCAGTTCCATAAATAACAATCTCTGCACATCATCATGTTGTCCACAGCACTTTTCAAACCTGGGATTACTAAATTCCTCAAAATCTCTTCTTTTTCTTGTTACCCCAATTGAGGAATCCTAAATATAGGACCTTTTGTATTACTCATATGTGCCATTGGCCCTCCTCTTGATTCCCTTAAAATCTTCCTAGCTATCTTTAAATGTATTCAAAGAATTGGAAATTTCAAATCTTTGTGACTAGACAACTATCCCTAGAGTGTCATAAAAATAAAATAATTCTTAGACTAACTATTCTCCCAGATATTCACCACAAACCTCAAGTGTCTTTTACAGCCTCAGATGGTGATAAGGGAGATAAAAGGACATCCTGGACACCAGCACAGCCATTTTGAATGCTCACAGCCAAAAAATGTCTCGTCTTATACAAGAAGAGCAAGTATATAAGAAACAGAATTTGCAATAAATGCACATTTTGAAAATACTGAGATAAAGTAATCAATTTTTTTGTTAATAATTTTCTGGTTTTCAAGGAGTTAAATTTTCACAGTAGATAAACAGAATCGCAATCTTTAATAATATGTCAATTAACTTTAACTTTGGGGCTTAAGTTTAAAGCACTTAGTTTGAACTCAGAAATTGTGGTCCATATCACCTTTAAGAAGATACAAGTTCCAGTGTCCTATACAATCCTATCATTCCTGTAAAAATTCCAAATGGCAGTGACATGCCTTGTTTGTCTTGAAATATTAGTGACTGATTTATAACTTCAAGGTATTTAAGTATGAAGCACAACATGATAATGTAAAAACAAAATCTGCTCCAGTCTAAGTAAGTTTAAATTTAGTGCTGCTGACAGGTTGGCACTATCTCAAAGTTGAGTATGCATATCATCAACCCACTTGCAGAGCTTAAAATCAAATATTAACAATACAGGTCATGTGCCATTTATTGGCACTGAATGAATCACCAAACCATTGAAATTCTGAAGAAGGAAATGCATCAGACCTTTCAGGCCACTGTCCCTTGTTCACAGTAAATAAACAAGATGAATAAGTCCCTTCCTGATTCATATGGTGCTCTCAAGTAGGAGCTTCCACTACAGGAGTCTCTACATGAAAGTCCTGAAACAGCTAGAGTGTATAGCTTCTTCCCACCTTTCTGCTAATGTAGTGGTGTATTGTCTGTCAGACTAAGGGTGGTTTTGAAGTACCATCTTTGAAATTGTTCAACCAGATCAAGCGGGCTGAGAGGAGTAGAAAGAATCCACTCAGTATGCCAGATCAACAGACATAGGAAAGATATATAAACACAGGTATCATTAAAACAAAAAAGGAAGGTAAACCCACATAATCAGTGCTGGTCTTTCCCCAGTGAGCTCATCAAACTGAGAATTTCTTATGATGTTCAGTTTTAGGACACTTTGTATTAGACCCTTGACAAAAAGATCAGGAGGACAATGATGATGCTTAAACCATACGGTCTCAGTGTAATGAGTGCTGTAAGCTGTGTAGACTTCTGAGAAATTAAACATTGATCTTCTTTCAATAGCTCAGCTGACTATATTTGATGTCCTTGTGTTTGTAGGGCACTGAAGAACTAGAGGTTCGAATCCTGGTACAAGCTCGACCAGGCCAAGATATCAGGTCTGTATTTCTAAACAGTAAAATATCTCTGTAAAGAATAGAAGGGCTGGTGATGTTTAAATTAAATTTTTAATCATGAGTAGTACTAACATTTTGACAGTCTGACTAATGAACATCCCTGGACACTCCTCAACAGGAGCAGGACCAATCAAGGAAAGATACTTTGAATCTCATTCTGTTTCTCTTTCGGGTTTTTTTCTGTGTTATTATTTTCAGACCCATAGGACATGACATTAAAAGAGGGGAATGTGTGCTGGCTAAAGGAACCCACATGGGTCCGTCTGAGATTGGTCTCTTAGCAACTGTTGGAGTAACTGAAGTAGAAGTTAACAAGTTTCCAGTGGTTGCAGTTATGTCAACAGGGAATGAGGTAAGAAAAGTTTGGTTAGAATTACGATCATACTGAAATACTATATCTTCTTCTGGACAGTGGCTTGGATAGTGACTTCCACCCTATTCCCAAGCAGACTCACTTTTGGGACTGTAACTCATGCTGACATGAGATATTTTTGTGAGTGATCAATCCATAATCAGCTGCTTGTGTTTTCACCCTCAAGGGCTCTCTCACAGGTCTCACACACTCTCTTTGCCAAGATTTTGATAATATATCCAACTATGTGCCAGCTGCTTTCCTCCTGCAAGGGAGAACCTGGGGGGTTGTCAGGGTTATAATTCATACTGCCAGTCATGACTAAAGAATAATTTCTTTTGAGCTGCAGTCCTCTGTAGCTATAGTGCAAATGACAGATAACCTGTCTTTGAAAACTGAATTATTTCACTACTAGTGAACTAGTGTACTAGTGTACTAGTACATCTTGAAATCCAGACACTCTCCTGTTGGTAGTATTCCAGACCAGGTTTCTAATTACTTTGTCTTAAACGCATCAGAAAAAGTCAGGTTCAAGATTAACTTAATTTAGTAATTTTACATATGTTGTGTGTTGACCAAGGCCATCAACTGTGCTCATTCATTCCCTCCCATAGCAGGACAGAGAAAGAATAGGAAGAGCCAAACCAAAAGAACATGTGGGTTGAGATAAAGTCAGTTTGAAGTTTAAAGACAGCATGAAGTCTTGCCTGTCCTTTGAGGCAAACTTTTTGAAATGCAGACACAAACATTAACTCAGTAGCTGTATTCTCATACAGCTTGAATACGTTGAATTTTGAAAGATTTTGAAAACTTCTGCTGTGTTGAATTTTGTCACCTGGTGGGTCCTCCACAACGCCAGTGAAGGTTAGTCTGTGGCTGCTGAGCATTGTCAGTGGTTGAGGCCAGTCTTCCTGGGACAGAATCTTGCCAGATTTCATAGTATAGAGAGGATGTGGCATGCAGGAAACATACCACTAACTGAAGAACAAATCCATAGAGCTACAAGTATTACAGGTGATGATTTTCTGATATTAACTTGTGTCTGATTCAAGATTCTCACATGTCATTAAAGGGTCCTTTACTGATGTGGGCACTCTCTTTCGTATCATATTAAAAAGGAGCCTGCACAGTGGGTTTCTTAAACATTCTATGAAAGTTTTCACAGAAATAGTGCTGCTAGCCAAAGCATAAAATTTAGCCATGCTCCACTTTGGGTTAGTCTTACCTTACTACCTAATATTATTGCTTCAATTTTTACAGATACATTCTTATTAGTAGTATTATTATTTTTCTCCTGTCAATATTGTATTCTGCTTCTGTGTCCTACAAAAGAATTCCTAATATATAAAAAACATGTTTTCATATGTATGTTTTGTAGTTTAGCTTCCAAAATACATGACATATGTAAGGAAATTGCCACGATACTATCCTGAGATAAAGTTTTCCACCCAAAACAGTAATTTGATGTAAGAAGCTTTAAGCTTCTGTCTATTAATCCAATGTAGATTGTTGTATTTAAAAAACATTTTTATTGGTAAGTAGACAATGAACTTCAAAATTTCCTTTAATACCTTTAAGTCTGATTAGCAACATCAATGAGGTTCCTTTAAAACCATTTAAAGAGAAGCAATAACTTGGAAACTTAAAATGTTTTTGTTTTGATTGCTTATGTTTGATATTAGAAGCCAGATACTCATAAGGTTTTGCAGACATGAACCAACAGAAATAAATTAAACAGCATCCATGATTGGACTAAACAAGCACATTACATATCTTATTAATTTAAATTCACTAAATCACTTTATACATTTATTTTATGATATGTGTCTAAAAACACAATGTCCAATCCAAAGCAGAAAATTCTCATTTGTATAAAGGCACAGTATTTCAAGGAGACTGACTGAGTGTTTCTGGTTTTATAGCTACTGAATCCTGAAGATGACCTCTTGCCAGGAAAGATTCGGGACAGTAACCGTTCAACTCTCCTAGCTACAATCCAAGAACATGGTTATCCAACAATCAACTTGGGAATTGTGGGTGATAAGTAAGTACCACATGTTAGTAAAGATGTCACTTCATATTCATGTGGTGCACTTTATGGCATCCATGGAAAAAAGAAATACCAGAGAAAACGTTACTCATTGCAAGGGTCACAGTGTTGTGATAGGGCACATCTTGGAGAAGGTATTTCACCCTTTTCATTAGAGAAATAAAGTCTATTTTAATATTGAGAGGGATAATTTGAAAAAAACTTTTCATGGTGTTTATTTTGTTTTGCCTTCTGTTTGTTGAAACAGATATCTATTACTGCTGCAAATTAAATTTATTGCTGCGGTATCATTCCAAGCACTATACTTAATACACATAAGAGGAGACAGTTCTACAGCAGCTATACTTTTTTGTGATCCAATAAATGGAGCAAAAAGGTTTCTCTCAGAGTTTATTTTCCATGCCAAAATTAATTTAGGATATGAAATTTTGTCAGATTCTGAGTAATTGTCTTCCAAGGAAGGCCCCACTGCTCCATGTTGCTCAGCATTTCCAGAAATACATGAAAGATTTTAAAAGAATCTTTTTTAGAAAAAACTTTACTGATCTCTACTTTCATTGCCGCAGAGTAGCACCATACTGATCAGTCTTGCTGTTCATCTGACAGTGATAGTTCCTTGTTTCCCAGTGGTAGTGAAGTCAGATCTGTTGAGAACTGTAAGCTAAAGTATTTGAAGTGTTCAGTTTTTTGTCCTTTGCCAGAGTGTGCAGTGCCTGCCTTCCATAACTCGAGTTTCTCAGCATAATGCATTTCCTCAATTTATTGAGCCCCAGAGGCTTTGAACAAGCTTTCTTGTTTCTCAATTTGGGTATCAAACCAACTGACAGACTTGGTTTGGTAGGGAGTTGATTAGATTGTCCCAGTGGGCAGTTAAAAGTTACAAAAAAAAAAAAAAAGGAAGTAATGAATTTCAGCACCCGCACACTGACTGATGACAAAGTCCCAACCAGGGAGACAGCGTTACTGCAAGAGTACAGGTAATTTCAAAATCAGTCTTCCCTAGTGCAGCATTCAATACAAAACATCTTTAGCTTGACAGAACCACTGCATGGTTTTGCAATAATTATATCAACCTGCATGGTGACTCCAGGAAACGCAGTGAATTAAGTATTCATATAGGGAATGTGACACACAGGAACTGCAGCTGTTGTTGTGATCTTAGAAAAAGCAAACCATTCTGGATACTCTCACTTCATCCAGGCATCATTTTTTGCTTCTCTGGCCTAGCAAAACACCATTGCTGTTCCAAATAGGAATAGGTATCAAAAGCCTCCTGCAAATTTCATGCAAGCAGAATCTAAAGTCATGAGACACTTCTTTACAGGAATAGTTTCTAAATGTTCTGGATCTCTAGAGTGTTTTCTATATTATAAGGTCCTTTTTAGACTTTAAATCACAGGTCACAAAGTTTTCAAATAAAACTATTCTATCCAGAGATCAGATTCTAGATTTGTGTACCTGAGAAAAAAGAAAACAGCCATAAAAAGCCTGTCATCTCTACATGAAAGAAGGGTTGGCAGAGGTTTTCTCCAGCAAAATATTGTAGGTATAACTGCTGTCATTAACAATGGTTTAATCCAATGGAAAAGATGCTTTCCCTGAACATCTTTCTGGTAGTCCTCTCTGGAAAAATAAGAGTGTAAAGCTTGTTTGGTTTTTATGGTGTTACCCTAATGAAATAGATATAGTCTCAAATGTGCTGGAAAGTCAGCAGTATTAAATGAAGAGTTTAACTTAAGGTCATTGTACAAAACTATAGTTATGTACTCCCTGTTGCCTTCAGGAATTTCTTCTATGACCTCCTAGGCATGGAGTGTCTGTGAAGATAAATAGTCTTGGAAGCTCTCAGTAATAAATAGCAAACAAGTCTAGAATCATAGAATCATTTAAGTTGGAAAAGGCCTTTAAGATCATCAAGCCAAACCCTTAACCCTAGCACTGCCAAATACAACACTAAACCATGTCCTCAAGTGCCACATCTATACATCTTTTAAATACCTCCAGGGATGGAAACTCCATCATTTCCCTGGGCAGCCTGTTCCAATCTTGATAATCCTTCTGGTGATGAAATTTTTCCTAATAGCCAATCTAAGCCTTCCCTGGTGCAACTTGAGGTCATTTCCTTTCATCCTATCACATCTTTCTTGGGAGAAAAGACTGTTCCCCACCTTGCTACAACCTCCTTTCAGGTAGTTCTAGAGAGGTACTCCCTGACACTCCTTTTCTCTAGGCTAAGCAATCCTAGTTCCCTCAGCTGTTTCTCATCAGATTAGTGCTCTAGACCCTTCACTAGGTTTGTTGCTCTTCTTTGGACATGCTCCAGCACCTCAATGTCTTTTTTGTAGTGAGATTTAAGGTCCAAGAGAATTTTATACATTTCTGTGTTTTTTACAAATAAGTTTTGTGACTCTGTTTTACTTGTCGGATGCTAGCTGAACACCAGACAGCAAACATATATATGTCAAAAATAGTGTCTGCAGCTTTGCTTTCAGTTATAAGAGAGCTTGATACCTTTGAATCCTTACTATTAAAATGTTCTTGAGATGAGTCTTGAGATAGTATTACTTTGGCAAAGGTACTAAGAGTTCTTTTTTAAACTTTTGGTTTCATTCTTTTTGTTTCATGCTTCCAGAGTTACTTCTGCAGAGCTAGTTATTTTAGCTCATAGAATAGAAATAATGAGCCTTCAATTGTAGAGTGATTTTATACTTTGCAGTGACTTTTGAAAGAATAATTCAGTCCTGTTGACTTAGCCAAGAATCTTCCACACCTAATATCAAAATTCAGTCTTAGGAAGTCTTCTGCTGTTCTTCTCACACTCACATGCCCATCCATATATGTACAGTAAAATGCATCTGCAGTTCTGTTTCAGTCAAAAGGAAAACTTGATTATGTAAATCAGTTTGATAAGAAGTTGTTAATAATAAGGTGTTATTTCATTACATAATAAAGGTACTAACTGAATGTTGCCCATAAGGATATTTCAGTATGTATCTTTCAGCCTAACATGACTGTTTGATGGAGTACCATGGCACTTGAACAAATGCAAGAGACTTACCAGAGAGATGTTTCAAAGGGTACAATTTTGACAGTTTAGTTAGAATGTTTATCAAGCCTTCAGTGTCTGTTTTATGGTTTACTGAAGTTAAACCATGGATTATGTGTGTTTGTGTGTGCTCATGTGTATGTGCATTTTATATGGATAATATGTATCCAGGCATTGAAAAAGAGAAAGATTTTATATGTCTGCAATACCTACGTGTACTGGCAAACATGCTTTTCAGAAAGGAAAATTAAAAACTTGTACTTTTTTTTTTTGTGTGTATCATAGTAATGTATTTCTTCCTTCACATCCGTTACAGTTGGGGTATTTTTCCTTTTTTTTTTTTAATAGAAGTTATATTTTGTAAATGTTTACTTCATTTTACTGGGAGTATCACTTGCACTGAATGGAGTTGATAGAGCAGATAACAGGGATCACACTAAAAGGCAAACTTAGAGCTTAGTATTCCTATACATCATTTCAGCATATGAATCACTCAGAGGTGTTCCAGTTAAAAAGTGGTTTGTCCAGCTGCTTCAAAGCCCAGGATTGTGATACATGTAAACACATTCCAGCAGAGAATGTGAAAGGATGGGGAAACATACAGAATGTCCATGGGTTTCTGCAGAGTAGTTTGAAGCACTTTAAAAATGCCTTTGCATATTAATCATATGTGAAGGTATATTTTGAACTGACCACTCAGGTCTCATGTAGTCTACAGTTATATTTTCATTTGAAACTAATATTTTATGTCTTTGGGGAGTATTTTAATGATTTCTAAGATCGATTCAGTTCACATAAATTGTATATGTGACTCAATATTCAAAATTCAAAATTCAAAAACACATAGATGAAGTCTACAGTTGAAACCCTAGAATATGGCAATAGCAGAACAGACCTGGGAATACAATACAGCTGAAGTTATGTCTGGCTCAAAGCCAAGATTTTCTGTTTGTGTTCTTTGCACCTAAAAGCCAAGCTGTCTGAAAAGTACAGCTCTCTGAGCAGAAGTGAAAGATACACCCACTCCCAGAGCTACTTCAAATGCAAGAATCAAATGCAAAACCAAGAAAAGGAAGAACCCTTCTGACGTTGTTCTTAATGTTGTGTCTTACATTTTTGTCTGAATCTTGGAATCGCTTGCTAAAAAAATAAAAAAACAGCTGGCCAGTTAAAACTGGTATTCCAATGTACTTTTGCGTGTTGCCTCCTAATAACAAGACCAAGTTTAGAAGGCTTTTGATTTCATTTCCTTTGCTTATAGTCTATGAAATTATTTGGTTATTTGGAAACCATTTATAAAAACTATAAAAAAGAGTTACATCTCTGATCTGTAACACCCTAATTGTAAGGATATTTTTGTATCTGACTATTTCATTTGTGTTGTTCTTTGTATCCACTGTTTATTTAAAGCTGTAAAGTTTAGTGCTAGCAAAATCTGCCATAGTGTGGGCCTCTGTTTCAGAAAGTCATCTTCCATTTTGACAGCTTTTCTTCTATGAGAGACTCTCTTATTAAACTTGGTAAAGAATTTTGATCATGTATGTAATTCAATTTCCTCTGTTTTTACCTTTCTTTACATGAGTGCATTTTCCCCTTCTCTGCATTCTTTTCCCTTGTTTCTAATTCCCTTATCATTTTTCTCAGTGACATGATTAACATTAGCTGCTTCCAGCTGCATTTTCATTTATGAGCCTGTGATTTCACAGTGGAGAGAGAAAGCATCTCTCCTTAGGAGAAAAATTTAGGAAATTCACATTAGCTGCTCACTTGCTTTAAAAATTTATCAGAATAGTTATTAAATCAGCAGCATATGAGAGCTTTTCTGCATTAGACGTTATTAGTCTCTTGTTTATATATCTCTCCTTTACAACGTATTGTTTGACACTGAGCTCCTAAATGGCAGGTAAATCTATTAAAAATCACCCTTGCTATTATGACAGCATTACTC